TGTGAATCACAGAAAATGACCCCTGAGCCTTGATTCAATAGAAATTCGGTGGCCATGAGTATTCCTGCCAACTCAGTTTGTGAAGTGCTAGCCCAGTCATGAACCCTCCTACAATCCTGGTGCTGCAAAATGCTGTTTTTATATACAACAAAAGCGCATCCTGCTCTGATCCCAGATTGCAAGGATCCGTCGGTGTAGCATTCATATGCATTGGGCAGAGTTTCTAAATGCTCATTTATAATTGCAAGTGCATACTGCTTAAGTATAGCAGGGGGGACACTGTCTTTTTTGGGGGCAGTCGTATAGTATACACTTGTACTTATAAAGAGGTAAGTGAAACTTGGCGATAGAAGCCCGTAGAGTTCATGTAGTTTAATTCATCATCTCTGAACCGCGACAGATTTATTAAAATTGATAGTAATAAACACACACACACACACATACACACACACACACACACACACACACACACACACACACACACGCACACGCACACGCACACGCACACACACACACGCACACACACACACACACGCACACACACACGCACACACACACACACACGCACACACACACACACACACACACACACACACACACACACACACACACACACACACACACACACACAACCACTCACACACAAATTCCATATGCAAACTTGGAATTGAACACTCACAATCTTAGGGAAATCTTAGGCGAAAGTGTGGGCCCGGAAACTGGATCCACGTCAGGATGCTTGAAATGACACGTCGGGAGATTGTTCTAGAAAAGGAAACTGCAGGAAAAAAAACTTTTGACTTTTAGTGGTAAGAAGGCTGGTTAAGGAAAGATGATACTGCACTGAAATATTGATTAATTATGATGATCATCCTCATGAAAATAATAATAATGGGAATATAATGATATTTGTAAAAAAAATGCTAATAAGGAGGAAGAGGATAATGATGGAGATGGTGCTAATCCTCCGTCACCATTAACACCACCACCACCACCATCATCATCACCATCATCATCATCATCATCATCATTATCATCATCATCATCATCATCATCATCACCATCATCATCATCACCATCACCATCATCATCATCATCATCATCACCATCATCATCATCATCACCATCTTGTTATGATGATCATCATCAACAAGTACCATCTCCGGTCCGGCGGTTGGCAACCAGTTGCTTCCAACTGATGATACATAATGATAATATGAAAATGATGATAAGAACAAGATCATGATGATGAAGAGAAAAAAGAAAGAAAGAAGGAACAAGAAGAAGAGCAAAAAGAAAAAGAAAAATGAATATCTATAATGTTTTAATATATATATATATATATATATATATATATATATATATATATATATATATATATATATATATATATATATATATATATATATATATATATATATGAAACATGATAATTACAATTAACCCAAGACGAAAAATTTGAGAGCCCTGGAGAAAAGAAAATCCATTTTTCCTTCACTTTTCGCACTTACAGCGTCTCTCGATTAAGTTCTTTTCGACGTAGCTTCTTATTAAGTGTCATTTTGGTGTCCTTTTCACCCTGAAATTCGCTCATTTTTTCGTAGGGAGGCCGTTTTATTTGGTTCACTGATACGTAAGTGCGATGGGATGTAGTAATTGTACCAGAAAATAGAGCTTTTTGACGGACAGGTGTTGAGTGACCCTATTAAATACTTGTGTGTTTTAATGCATATTCTACATAAATTAATATTGAATGTGATGTGCGATGTCCTTAGGATGCAGTATGTTATAGAGACGTCACAAGACACGAAAAAAATCTTCACAGTTAATCTATTCAAGTATTCTTTTTATTTTCCTGTCTATAAAAGACCTTATCATGCACACCAAAATGTGCTTCCGACAAAGAACAGCGTAATCCGAAACCTCCCTCGACTGATTTTGTTAAGAATAACACCGTATTTTCTGCAGGATTACTACCGTTACTTCTCCAGGCTTAGATTACCGATCTGCAGGAGATATTAGCCGAAGGACATTTTTCCTTAGGGGTTTAGAAAGCCAGTTCAGTGATCGCCGGGGCTGGGTTATTACGGCCCCCAATCATACCCGAGTTGATTAATTAACTAGGTAGACTTTGCCGCGGATTATTGGGCATTCCATTTACGGCTGACTTCATGGGGAATTCAAATTAAGAAACTTTGCTGCTGTTTTTTTCGCTTGGGGAGGTTTTCTTTAAGGCTTTTGCTAGCTGGATTGTTATTTTTTTATCTATACTATTTTTGGCTTTGTTCGTTTTTTTCGGATTTCGATTGGATTTGTTTTGGTTTATTTTATTTCTACTTTTTGCGTTTTTGTGGTCTTGATTTTTTTTCACGTTGGAGTACTTGAGATTTCTTCGGAAGAAAATACTTTGAGGATTCCTAAACGACTCCCTACATTTTTCATTGTCTCCCAGTTTCTCTCGTTTCCCACTCCTTCCCTCATTCCCTCATACCTATCCCAC